GGGCTCGGGGGAGCGGTGGGCCGCGGCGCCCTGCCCAACCGGGCCCTGCCCACGTTGCCCCGAGGTTGAAATGCAGAAGTCAAGGCTCTCTCCTCGGGAAGCGGCTTTCCTGGTAGCCCTTTCACGGCCCCGCTGCCTCCTCGGTGGAGATCAGAGAGCCTCGGGGGCTAGTGGCGGCCCCGGAGCGCAGGAGGCGGGGAGCCCGGCTCCGGGCATAGGTCTCCGTTCGGGATTTAGGGCAGCCCCAGAGGTGTCCCGCTCGGAGGAATGGGTAAGTGGCCGGGAGCTGCAAGGAGGGTTCAAGTGCTGTCAAGAGAGGGGGAGCACCCGTGCGCCGTCATCCGCCGCCGCAGCTCCCTTATTGACTTTGCTCGTGTTCCTACAAGTTGTAAGAACACGTTAAGGGTCAGGAGCAGGGAAGAGAGAAAAGCTAATGACTGCTCGGTTTATTATTAATGCTATTAGGCGAGTGCGAGGCAGGATCGCAGTCGAGTGGATGGCTGGAGCCTGCGGCACGTTGTATATTATTCCTGACACCCATCTTAGTAGTTAACATTTTAGCACGTTTGTTTTACAGCCTGGTGTAATTGTGCTGTTAAGCGAGAGGCGCTAACAGCACCAGAAACGGTCTTTAAAAAGTTAGTCGCGACTCAGAAGCACCGCGTTGCCCTTGCCTCTCCCAAGATGTAAAAGAATTTCCTCAACTACTCTGCCTTCCTCCCCCTCCCCCACGTCTTCGAAAAATGTTTTCTTTTTCTTTTATTCGTGTTCCATTTTCCTGTGGCAATAAAACCGACTTGTCTGTTGGGGCGATCTCGTTTTTCATCTCTGGAATGTGTTTTTTTGGAATATGCTTCACGCACTGTCCGGAGAGCTCCGACATTCGTTGCCACGGCTTTTCTTTCTTTCTCTCTCTTATTTTATTTATTTGTTCTCTCCCAATCCCACCTTGCTGCTTTTTTTTTTTTCCTTTTTTTTTTTTTTTTTTTTCCTTCTCTCCGATTTTGGGGACATGCCGCTCTTCTAAAGAAGCGTGCGTGGAGTGGCCGGGGGGTCCTCCGAGCTGTGACATCTGCCTTGTGACGAGGAGCAGTTCAGACGCCCCCTTCTGAGCCATTCGCCGTGTCCGACGGGTGTGTTTGTGTGTTTGCTTGCAGAACCTGCCTTCGGGGAAGTGAACCAGCTCGGGGGGGTGTTTGTCAACGGGAGACCCCTGCCCAATGCCATCAGGCTGCGGATTGTGGAACTGGCGCAACTGGGTATCAGGCCGTGCGACATCAGCCGGCAGCTCCGCGTTTCCCACGGCTGTGTCAGCAAAATCCTGGCTCGCTACAACGAGACCGGCTCCATCCTCCCGGGGGCTATCGGAGGCAGCAAGCCTCGGGTCACCACCCCCACGGTGGTAAAACATATCCGGACCTACAAACAAAGGGATCCGGGCATCTTCGCCTGGGAGATCCGGGATCGCCTGCTGGCCGATGGCGTGTGCGACAAGTACAACGTGCCGTCGGTCAGCTCCATCAGCCGCATCCTCCGGAACAAGATCGGGAACCTGTCTCAGCAGAGTCACTACGAGTCCTACAAGCAGCATCAGCCGCCCCCACAGCCTGCTCTGCCCTACAACCACATCTACTCCTACCCCAGCCCCATCGCTGCTGCCGGAGCCAAGGTGCCCACCCCTCCCGGGGTGCCAGCCATCCCCAGCACTATGGCCATGCCCAGGACGTGGCCGTCCTCCCACTCGGTGACGGACATCCTGGGGATCCGCTCCATCACAGACCAAGGTGAGGAGGGGGCACCCGGGGCCGCGGAGGCAGCCGGGCAGGGCCGGAGCGTTTCGGTCCCCTGCTCCTGGGTTCCTTCCTCCCCGAGGGTCGGAAGGCTGTTTCGTGGTTCTGCCTCGGGAAAGCTCTCGCGTGTTCCCCAGCCCGAGCCGGGCACCGAGCTTACCGGAGGATGCGCCTCGGGACGCGGGCAGATCGGAGGTCCCGGGGTGGGCTGCAGGCGGACCAGCAAACCGTACAATATCGGCGCTCACCGCTGCCGCTGTGACCCGAGAAGGGGAGAACTCGGCCGGCGGGAACGGGGGGCTGCGGCGCCCCCAGGGCCCGGGCCGCGTTCCGTCCCGGTCCCGGTGCAGGTCCCGGTCCCGGCCAGGGCTCGCTGCCGCCTTCCAGTCGCAGGCGCCTCCTTGGCGTTACCGAGAAATCCATTTTCTTCAGTTTTCGCAATCAGGCCAAATTTGCTCCGGCAGGAAGTTCAAATGTCACCTAATTGCTTTCATTCTGGCTCTGTATTTTCCTCCGAAGCGGTGGTCCAGGAAAACGAACCCCCCAAGATTTGCTGCTTTTATCCCTTCCACCTTCTTTCTGTTTCTCCGCCTGGCAACTGCGTCGCGTCCCCCAGCCGCTTTCTACGCTTTACCGCAAAGAAAGGGACATTTTTTCCATCTCGGTCTCTGCCAGTGAACTAACAGTGAATGTGGTTAAAACAACAGTCTAAAATAACCTTCGCCTACAGCGATCTCAGTGTCCCACTCTTCCCTCCCAATTAGCGGAGGGGGGGGCTGTGATTTCTGTTTTCTTTGCGTTTTTAACGGCAACAATCCGGTTCCAGCAGCACTTCAAATGCAAATTGATCCTTTAGGCACTGCAGAACATTTTTTTTTTTCTTTCTGAAAAAGGCGGTATTTTTTTTTTTTTAGGCAATACAGACAAGCACACATAAGTATGTTTTATTTGTATTCATACATACAAAAATACATAAGTTTTTGTCTTTCTTCGCCCTCTACTTCACGATATAAACTTTATCCTCAGACCGCACTGGCACAAACAATCGTGTTTCTGAGTCGCCTTTAACAAATACATGCCTGGCAATCTCTGCTCTGTGCTGGGGAGAGGTAGTGTTGGCAATCAACATTAAAAAGAATGAGAACATTACAATCACATGAGAAATTGAGGGTGGTTTGGTTGTTTTTTTTTTTTTTTGTGAGTTCCTTTTTTATTAACACCACATTGGCAGGCAGGCAGGCCTCTGACGGTCCTGCCGGGTGCTTCGGTATCTGCCCCGTCTCCCTCAGCCCTCGGAGCTGCACACATCTTTCTGTAGTGTAAAACCTTCCCCCCTCCCCTTCCCAGCAGAGAGCCGGGGCCGCTGAGCGGCCGATGCCGCAGATGGGGGCTGCTCGCCCTTGATTTATAGGATAAACTGACCTTGGTGACACGGAAAGGAAGCCCCTATTCATGGGAAAGTGTGAGATCAGCAGAAAAGGGCGCTCACCGAGAGAGCTCAATTTCTTAAGACAACTTCAGGTTTGTGCCTTTCCCCAGCCTCGGCGAGGGGCCGAGCGAGGTGGTGTGGCGGGGACCCCCGCTCCCACGGCGGCTCCGGCGGACCCGCAGCCCCCCACGCTCCGACGCGGGGCTCGGGGGAGCCGACCCCCCGTCTCCCGCCTTTCCCCCCCTCTCCACCCCGGGCTCCCCGATGGGGCCCGGGGAATTTGCCTGGCTGCAAAACAGCCCGGCCCGGGGAATTTGCCCGGCTGCAAAACGGCTGATGAGCGTGTAAATGACAGGACTTTTACTTTCCTCTTTCTTCTCTTTCATCTGTTTCCCTTTCGTTTTTTTTTTTTTCCTTTCTCTTTTCTTCTTCCTTTTTTTTTTTTTAAATTTCTTTTTTTTTTTTCCCCACTTTTCTGGTGGCTTGTTTGGAGCCTGGTTCATCTGCAGCCGTGTCAGGGTTATTTCTAACAAGGGGTATGGTTTGTCCTCGGACTCGCGCACCCACATACACAAACGAGGCGATTCCCGTAACTCCCCTCTCTTAGGAGATCCCGGGGGACAAGTGCCGGGGAGAGGGGGCAGCTCCGTCCCGCCAGTGCAGGGATGAGCGACTCAGCCCCTCCGCGCTCGCTGCCATCAGCTGCACGGAGCGCCCCGACTCCCTTCTTCCCCAGGATCAGGATCACCCCATCCAGGGGGTCCCGGGAGGCTCAGCGAGGTGTGGCGGGCGTGGGACAGGCTTCCCCTCAGCTCTGCCCCACAGGCTGCGTCCCGTGGGGAGAGGGAGCCGTCTCCAGCCCGGAGCAAA